CTGGAGCCAGTGTTTGGTTTGTCTCTTCTGAGCTGCAGTGGACTCCATGGCGACCTGTGGCGTAAATAAAAACTACTCATTCTAAGCAAAACTAACAAAACATAACAATTCCAATATTCAGGTGATTATACGCAAATGAAAATGGATGAATATTATATTCCATTTTTGCCAACAGATCCTCTTAAATGTTACAAACTGGACCTTCAATTTAATTTTAAAGGGTTGAGTTGAATAAAAATGAACCCTCTAGAAAATTGTCATGAACAGGAAAGCTATACAGACCAGGCTGTAACCATGTTTATTTCTGCTTGTTGGTCATTTTAATATAGGGCCTTATGGTGCTACGGGCGTTGTCTGGTGCATTTAGGTTACATAATTGCAAGACCAAAAACATTGCATATAGGTAACAGATATATATATTGTTCCATTCTAATTCTAACATTAATTTTAGTGTCTATTATTCAAGTTACACATTTAATTAATAATTAAATAACTGCAGTTATTGTATTCATTTTGAGACATTTTCTCAAGTTTTCATAGGTGCTTTATACTAAACTAAGTATTGACTGTGGTTAGCTAAGGTTAATGTACAGCAGTGGGTCATGTTGATACTGATAACATGAACATCCTCATCTTTTATTCACTAAATTAAACAGAAAAAAACGAAATAAATGAACATCTAAACCTCTAATAGAGAATTCCACTTAAATCATCAGGCTAATACTTTGGCTGAATCTTGATAGGCAAATGTAAACTGCATGATTTGAGTCTGATTTGATCCCCACACAACATATGCACTGTTTAACCATTATATACAGTATGTTTCCAGTCCTTGATTTTTAAGTGTCTTTTAAAAGTTGTCAACTGCTATTGACAGACTAGTTTTAGTTTTGAGGGACTTGGAGCTCTCTTACCTTTCCAGTTGACTTTACTCCTCGGACAATGAACAGGTAGGTAATCAACCAGGCAAGCACAAGGCACAGTGCCTGGCCTGTATGAATGCCTCCATTCACTTCAATAGAAGAAGAAATGTCCAGTGTTTCCCTGTAGAAGAAGTACTGGGTGGGTGTAGCCCTTTCACACTCCTCTATAGGTCCTGTCCGATTGGAATTGATGGGGCAGTCTGCCCAGGGGAGAACTGACTGAGATGGTTGTGAACACAAAATACTATTGGCTTCTTTCATTACTTTCCAAATGAAAGCCAACATTTTGTATATAGTATCTACTATAAAAAATATTGTAGTTTGTTCAGCAGCTTACTTGAAAAGAATGAAAGAGGTACCAGAAACTCCATGCATTGATGATGTTGTAATACAGACAAAGATACAGGGATGTCACAACACTAGCAAGACCTAAAACAAGAGAGTTACACAAAAAAATAGGAAAAGAATTATTACAAACACAAATCAATTTGTTTCCTATTTTACATATTGTACATCCACCTATTAACCTATTGTTCAGTCAGTTTATCCACATTATTCAACAATGAAGCCAAAGCTTAATAACGTACCAACGAGTAGTCAGAGCTTTGCGTTGTTCAACAGTGTTGAAAATGAATGCTTCACATATTTGAAACATTGACATAGATGCCCTGTCTCCACTTCCTCCCACTGTACAGAAATGAAGCCAAAATATGCCAGATACAGTCGCTCGATCTTTCGTCATTCAGAGCCAGAGTCTTTGGAGTAGTGATTGGGGTTGGCGCTGCATGGAAATCTTACCGATACGCCCAAGCTAACTCAAGTGCAAGCAGAGCTCAGCTGTCAATCATGATGTGAAACCCCCTTTTTTGTAACTTCAGATAACTAATAAAAACTGAACATATTAGAAAAATTAACATCTGAACATACATCAGCTTCACATGAACTACCTAAAATGCCAGAAAATCATCTTTCGGAGAAATGTATTTGGCGTTTACTTTTATATTTTGACCCCCTAACCCCCTAACATGGGGAGTGGACAACAGGTTATTGTGTAATTCTAACTTAGCTAACTTAGCTGACAAGTGGAGTTGCCCAAACAATGCAGCAGATGTGTTAGCATTTTACTTACAGTACAGTATAAAGTGGTAGCATTGTCTCACTTTTTTTTTCCATATGCTGGCTGCAGCCCCATTGCGGGCACACACACACATGCTATCTTCCAACCTCATAAAATTCAACATGCTGTTCTCTTTTCTGCCACCTGAAAGGCACAGGCTCCGGTATCAGTACCCTGTCTTGATGCAGTCCCAAAGCTGCATTGATGCACAGTATTGCAAGTACAGTCAGTTGGTTCAGTCAGCACTTACCCACTCCTCCCAGATAAGGGCTGATGGCAGTCCATGCCCCAATACTGCCCAGACTCATCTTCTGACCAATGGCGAGCTCCAGGTAGAATAAAGGAACACCCTCCAGAAACAGCATGATGAGGTATGGTATCAAGAACCCCCCTGAAGGTGTAATAGTCCTTAGTACTTAGGCAACTCAGACACAGGCACAGGCAAACATGGCATAGAGTTTACAAAATGAGTTATCAATTTATTTAGTATAACTGTACTACCTAATTTAACCCAATACCCCCGAAATAAGCCTTTTTCAGGTTTGGCTTGACAAAAATAGATTGTAGATCAAATGTTTAGTTCCTAATATTTTGCCTGCCCCCATGTACATTAATGAGGGGGACAGAATTTAAAAAAACATCTCATATTAAAGCTGCAAGCAGCGATGAACGGGCCCTCACACTCCACGCAACTCGGGCGTGCTGCGGCCACGTCACGTGCAGGCGTTACACGTGCGGACCAAA